GAGAGAGATTGCGTGCTCTTGGTACAATGAGAAGTGTTGAATGTGTGATTGGCTGGGAACCTTGCACTTGTGCTGCGCAGAATGGTGATGAGTGGGATGTGGAGGATCCAACAGCACAGCACAACAACAGCTGAACCGGAAATGAAAGGACAATGAATTCTCCTATGAATGAACGAAGCATGTGCAATCTGGGTTTAAACTTTAGATCCTGTAGCCAGGGTACTCTCCTGAAACTCTACAACTTCCGGTCCTGGAACAGACCCGCGGCCTAGAGCTGGACCAGACTGTCAAACACTTGATCCCAGGCGGTACCACAACTGATTATGTACCACAACTTCCAGTCCTATGCAATGTGTGTGTGTCCTGCTGCTCCTGCAAACAACCACAACTGATTATGGACTGTGTTTTCTGTCCGGTTGGTTGCACTTGGACTTGTCGTCTCCAGGTTACGGACTTCAATTATTCGACGAATTATCTTCTCAACCGCTATTTACAGGTAAATCTCGCTGGCTTTTTTTTTTTTTTTTTAATAACAAATGGCAGTTGTCCTGCCCATCCTTTTGCACAGTTTGTTTTCATATAGTTCGTTTTCACGTCTGATAGGCTTGGCAGCTTATCTGAGGGCATACTCACACTAGGACTTTCTTCTCGACTCATATCCGGACGTGATTGTAGTCAGATGCATCTATGCCTAGCCGTAATTGCAGTCAGATACGTGTAGGAAAGTTGCTCCTGTCTTCCTCCGAACATAATGCACCCTGATCATGAACGTACACAAGCTATCTTCTGGCCTGAGACAGTCATAATGAGGGTGCATTGCGCTTTCTGTTTGAGAGATCTGATTCCATGGCAAAAGTCTTGCTGCAGCCGATTTGCTGCCAGACTCGAAGTCTTCCGTGCACTGTGCACTTGCGGCAGAGGTCCGACGAGCCCAATTGCTGCCGGCTTAAGCCGAGAGATTAGGGGAGGCCTACTTCTCAGGCCAAGAGGAGAAGGACGGCTCATTGTTGCTTCGAAGTCTCTCTGAATGCGAATTGTCATAGAGATTATGCCTTTCACCAGATCATTCGGCAAACCTCGACCAGACTACTGCGCCTATCACCTCCCAATATCAATCACCCTCCCTGCATGGAACGAAGACCTGCTGTTTTTCCTTGTTGTTGTTGTTGTGGTCGTGGTCGTCGTCGTCGTCGTCGTCGTCATTGTTGTCATGGTCGTCGTTGTTGTTGTCGTCGTTGTTGTTGTTGTCGTCGTCGTTGTTGTTRTCGYCGTCGTTGTGGTCGTCGTCGTTGTGGTCGTCGTCGTTGTGGTCGTCGTCGTTGTTGTCGTCGTCGTTGTGGTCGTCGTTGCCGTTGTCGTTGTCGTTGTCGTTGTTGTTGTTGTTGTTGTTGTTGTTGTTGTTGTCGTCGTCGATGTCGTTGTTGTTGTTGTTGTTGTTGTTGTTGTCGTCGTCATCGTCGTTGTTGTTGTCGTCATCGATGTCGATGTCGTTGTTGTTGTTGTNTTGTTGTTGTTGTTGTCGTCGTCATCGTCGTTGTTGTTGTCGTCATCGATGTCGATGTCGTTGTTGTTGTTGTTGTTGTTGTTGTTGTCGTCGTCGTCGATGTCAATGTTGTGGTTGTTGTGGTTGTTTTCAGTAACTTGGGCCATTACAGATCTGTGTGTGTTATCGTTTGTTGCCCGGAGACTGTGTAGAATAAAAAGAAATGAAAAATGAAAACAAAAAAGTTGGAAAAACGGATGTTCAATTTGCAATTTTGCACTGTTCTCTGTTATCAGCCCATCCCATCAGCTCTTCGTAAAATAGCTTTTTATTTATCCCTATTTTTGCCCTCCACCGTCTCACAACCAATTTCGATGGGCTTTCAATTCAATCATTTAAAGCCTGAAATGACTCTCATCGGTTATTAAAAAAAAAAATATAGAGAACAAAAAAAAAAACAGTAACTCTCAGCTGTGCCCATGCCACATTCCTTGCTCCTTGATGTGATGCAGCACTCGTTTTTTTGTTTTGTTTTTTTTTTCCCTCCCCCCGACAGAGGAGTTCCAAAAAAAAAAAAAAAAAAAGGGGAGTTAGCTCTGAACAGTGAACAGTCTAAAAAAAAGTCGCAACACCTTCTAAATGTGCATGACAGCGTTTCTTTCATAGATGCATTTGGAATTTTGGACTGACCGAGCATTTCCAATATATCCGGACTGCCGTCAGGTTCATAACTTCATATACATTTAGAATGTTGTGTCGTGGAACAGCGAGGCAGATATGTGGCGATGGACTGTTGCCTACACCAGGGGCAAGGGGTCCCCACTTGCACGGATTACGAGCTGTTGGCCCTTGATCTCCGTTATCTGCGGCCACTATTTTTTTCTACGATTTCTCAAACGACGTATGTCGTCCTTGCCCTGGGGCCATGCTATTTGATGGTCTCTGTATCCAGTGTATTGTCCCACTCTTTTGTGTTTTTTTTTTAAACCAAACAATGTCTTTATAAAAGCTGGGAACCGGGCCTGGCGTCCCTTACAAAATTAGGCGGGGCCCTCAGTGGGCAAGCCATCACCGGCCAAGACTCTAATCACAACAGTCGTATTGTTCCACTCTGAATGGATGTCCCAAAGTACGTTTTTTTAAGACTTTTAATTAACAGCAAAATATCAAAAATAACAAATTATGAGGACAATGTCCTTGCTCATTGACCTTGCATGTTTCCTCAGGCTAGCCACTACTTTTTACCAGTTTTTAACTTTTTCGGCTCTTTTTTTCCCTTCTTTTTTTCGTATTTTGACTTGCGTAGCACGGTGAACGTGTTTGCGCCCGATATATATATATATATATATATATATATATATATATATATATATATATATATATATATATAT